CTCCACTTCTGAGACGAAGGACCAGGAGAACATCAGACTGGGATAGGTCTGGGATCTCTGAGAGCTGGCGGCTCGGATGTATCGGGCGCCGCGGCCGTTTCAGCGTCTGGGACGCTCCAGAACGATTTATCCTGGTAGTGGCCCCGCCTGGTGTTCTCCTGCGGAAGCAACAGCAGCAGCACCACCACCAAAAGGCGCGGCAAGACAGAGAGAAAGGCAGGAAAGGAGGGCTGGGTAAAAGGCACGAACGGAGGAAGGGGAGGGAGGGAGGTACGTAATTAGGCGTTCCGGCAGGACGAGATCCCACCGCCGAGCGGCACTTCGGGGCGCGAGCCCGCGAGGATAAACACCGTCGAATTCCCGCTCGTCGTGGAGCGGTACAAGGCGGAGCGGGCCAGCGAAAATCCTGAGGCGGCACGGAGGACAGGGAGGGCAAGAGGAACGGGGGGACGAGAGGAGAGCGAGGGCGGAGCGAGGGAGAGAGGAAGGGAGGAGCGAGGGACGGCGGGAGGGGCGAGGGTGGGACCGAGGGAGGGAAGGGAAGCTGGAGGAGCGGGAGCGGGAGGGAGAGGGGGAGCGAATACGGGGGGGCGGGGAGCGGGAGGGAGAGGAAGGGATGTGGGGGAGGGGGGAACGGCGCAGGGTGCGCGTGCGAAACCAACCCAACGAGGCGACTGGGAGGGGAGGGCGGCAGGCGACGGTGGCGCGGCGAAGACGGCGGCGACGACGCAAAGCCACGAGAGGGCGTGGTGGGGGAGAACGAACCAGACGTCCGGGCGCCTCGAGCAGGCACGCTGCACGGCGCCTTCCCGCAGCCTCGGCGTCTCTTGGACAGGGTGCAAATCATGACCGGCGGCACGTGCGCGGCCCAACGGGGGGGCCAGGGACGTAAGGAAATAAGACGAGGCGCCATAAAATCGGAGGAAATATCATGGTCCACGCCATGATTTCCCCCCCCCTAGTCATCACCCCATTCTTTTCCGCCCCCGAGCCATACCAGGCCACCAGGAGCCGCAGGCCGACCGGGCCAGCAGCGCCACCAACACCGGCCAAGACCGGCGGGCCGACAGCAGCCTCGAAGGACGCGGCGGCGCCACGACCAGCCGAAGCGAAGCGACCACACTGCCGCCTGGGAAGCAGGCCAGGCGTGAAGGAAAACGTTGGGGTTAGGTCGGGCCTGTCCCACTACAGGCAGGCTCTGGGACGAAAAATACAAGATACTTCAACACTGCTCAAAAAATACTCCAAACTCGTCCCCGGACTATAATTTGTATAATTTTTCAATTTTCCTCTTGTAGAGGGACAGGCTCAACTTAACGTTAGCGGGGGCACTGAACTTGAACAGGGACCAACCGTCCTGGCATTCCTATAGTCCTACCACGAAACGTTCGTAGAACCCAAACATGTTCTAAGAACGAAAACGGTGCTCTTGGAACATAAGCCCGATGTGCCAAAACAAAACAGTCCCAACCAGAAGCGTTTTAAGAACATGTCGTGCGAACCACACAAGGTTCTTAGAACATTCTCTGGTAGGCCTATACGGGAGCCAGGACGCATCGCCACTGCTTGAGTTAGGGGGGGCATTGTATTGTCTCAGGGGGGCAAAGCCCTGGAGTCGGCGATGCGTCGCCGACAGGAATCGACGAGCGCGTTCCACTACTCGAAAAGTAACTACTCGCAAACGGCCTGGATCCCCCGCAGGGGATCTACGATAAATGACATCAAAGCGGACATATGTTGTTCCAGACGTTTGCGAGTAGGCACTTTGAGAGGGGAACAGAAAAATGTCATAAACATAAAAACGCGGAGGTCCGCGCGGATTTCTCGGATCGGCGCTGGACCCCCCTCCCTGGCGCGCGGAGCGCGCCAGGGTGGGCGCCGGAGGCGCCGCCGGGGGGCCCCAGCGCGGATCCGAGAAACCCGCGCGGACCTCCGAGTTTTTATGCTTGTGTCACTTTTCGTTCCCCTATTTGCGAGCAGTGGAACGCGCTCGGTGAGCTCAACGCCCGCACAGCCTTGGTGAACACAGCAGCGGCGGCTGGGACAGCGCTGCTGGCAGTGAGGGAGACCTCACTGACCGAAAGAAGTCCTCCAACAACCCCATGGGCTGGGAGGCTCAGAAGCCGCGCGCTCCTCGACGGGCACGGGCTGCCGGGCGCCCTCGTCGGCGAGGAGCGGGCACCCGGGGGGTCGACGCGTCGCCTCCTGAGCCTGGTCCCCTCCAGACATGATGGGCCTGCTCTGGATGATGGGCCTGCTCTTCCACCACCTGTCCCCACAAGCTCGGAGGGAGGGGGTCCTCCTCCTCCTCCTCCTCCTCCTCCTCCGCCTTCCTTCCTCCTCCTCCTCCCTCCTCCTCCTCATCCTCCTTCTCTCCTACTCCTGCCTCCTCCTCCTCCTCCTCCTCCTCCTCCTCCTCCTCCCCCTCCTCCTCTCCTCCTCCTCCTCCTCCTCTCTACCTCCTCCTGCCCCTTCCCCCTCCTCTCCTCCCCCGTTCTCCTCCTCCTCCTCCTCCTCCTCCTCCTCCTTCCCCTCTCCAACTTGTGGTGGTGGTGGGAGACAGGCCCATCAAACCATTGACCTCTGACCAGGGGTCAAGGCCGAGTCAGGGATCCCCCCCGGGTGCGGTCTGCTCAGAATCTCGAGGCGGATCCAGCCGTGGCCACGAGGGCGCCTCAGGACTGTGGGACACGTCCAGGAGACGACGCTCGGACCTCGACCCTCGAAGCTCGACCCTCGAACCTCAACCCCCGTGGGCCTGACTCCCCTTGCACGTCGGTCGGAAGAAGCGGGTAAAAACATGCAGTAGGAAGGCAGATACAGTAGATTGTGCTGCGGCCATCCCGGAGAATGACAAGGCACACCCAAAAAACATATCGACTCTTGGAATAGGAAGGCTCTTGAAGCAGATTGAGATCTGGGGGATCCAGAAATACCTACTTTCGCGGGCCCCTAGAGGCCCCAAAAGGCCCCCAGGAAGCCCCAAGAGGCTCCCAAGAGGCTGCCAAGAGGCCCTCAAGATGTTCCCAAGAGGCCCCCGAACTGCCCCCCAGAGGCCTCCGAGAGCGCTCCGAAGAGACCCCAAACAGCATCCTTGCATGCCAACGTCGTCGTCGTCGTCGTCGTCGTCGTCGTTGTCCCCCTTCGTAGACGAGCGCGCTCCACTGCTCGCAAAGTAACTACTCGCAAATGGCCTGGATCCCCCGCGGGGGACCTACGCTAAATTACATCAGAGCAGGCACGTGTTTTTCAGACGCTTGCGAGTAGGCACTTGGCGAGGAGTGGAACGCGCTCGGTGAGCATTGCAAAAAATCACGACATCGGATCTCTGGGTCTTGCGAGGGGCGATGGGGGGAGGCGAGGAGCTCCGTCGAGGCCTGCCGGTCGGGCAAGGGCCAAAAGCCAGACGGGGTACGCCCGGGCGGAGACCGAGCACTCCGCGTGGACGTCCTTCGTATGGGCTTGGGCCTCCTCTCAGGACAGACTGGATCCGGACGGACCAAGCCCGGACGGAGACCGGTCACTGCGTCTGGACTGGACCGACGGGCAACTTTCCCGGACCGACGGGCAGCGCCGCCCCTGAGGACAGGGGGGCCCCACCGCGCGTGCGCGGGCGGGCCAAAAAATGAAAACAAACCAAAACAAAACAAAACACAAGGATAAAAACAGCAAAAAAAAGAAGCAAAAACGGGGGAAACTGCTCCGTCCTGGTGGGATCCGCCTCGGGTCTCGGGCCAGCGGGCCTGCGGGAGAGGGCGGGAAGCCAACGCGGGTGCCGGGCCTGCAAGCAGCAAGCAGTACGTGGGGGGGGGGACGGAAGGAGAGTAGGAGGGGAGGAGAGGCCTGGAGCATTGAGGGGGAGGAGGAGGAGGAGGGGGAGGAGGAGGGGAGGAGGTGTGAGAGGAGGAGGAGGAGGAGGAGGTGTAGGAGTCAGGGGGTAGGACGAGGAAGCAGGAGGAGGGAGGCGGAGGAGGAGGAGGAGGAGGAGGAGGACGAGGAGCAGGAGGAGGAGGGGCCGGCGTGGTCCGTAGCCATTTTGGCTCAAGCCCCACGTCCCCCCTCGGGGATCTCGTGGGGTTTGGGCATCCGCACCCATTTGCTCGAAGTGCTCGCGCGCCCTCGGCCTTGCGCACCTCGCACGTGGGATGGGGCTCGGTGTGCGCGAGGCCGCCGTCCTCGTCGAGGCGGCGGTCCGCGCGGCTGCCCTCGCCAAGGCGCCGCCGCGCTCCCTGGCCGCCGTCGCCCGTGCGGCCGTGGCGGCCGCTGGGCGGGTCGCGGTGCCTGGTGATGCTGGTGGCGCTGGTCGTTTTTGTGGACGTGGTGGCGGACCTCCTGGCGGTGGCGAGGTGCCCGCGCCCGCGGCTCGTGCAGAGCGGCGCAGGCGCCGCCGCCGTCGCCGTGCCGCGCGGCGCGCGGCTGGCGGCGTGCCTGCGGCCCCTGCTGCCGCGGCTGCGGCCGAACCCCTCATGGAGGTCGACGGCGATGACGTGCTGGACGACGCCTGGGCTGACGATCTCCCTCCTCGGGTTTCGCGTCGGCTCGGCGGCCCAGCGGCGATCGCGGCCGCGGAGCCAGCTGGTGCGGCCGCTGCGGCGGCGCCGACGGCTGGCGGAGCGACCCCCTCGGCGGATTCTGCTGGTGCTGCCGGTGCTGCGGCGGCGGGTGGTGACGCGGCAGCCGAGGGGTCGGCCTTGGCGCTGCTGGTGGCGCCACCCGCGGCTGCCGCTGCCGCCGACAGCGTGGAGCCCGTGCTGGGCGAGTCGGCGGAGCGGGCCGCGCTCATCTCGGCGTGGGTCAGCACGCCTGGGGCGCGCGTGGCTGACTTTCAGCCGCACTACGCCACCTGGCCGCTCCACCGACTCCGAGCCTGGCTCGTGGAGGCGGTGGACGCGGCCCCCGGCACCGGCGCGGGGCGGGGGAGGCAGCGGAGAGGTCGGCGATGATGTGCCCTCCCGTGGAGGGAGGGCGCCGCCTGCCCCTTCCCCCCCGCTTCGCACATCGCGGACCTCGTCGGCGTGGGGGTCGACTGGTTCGTTTGAGGCCCGTTGGACGGGCCTGGCGGCGGTGGGGTGACTCATCGGTCCGCCAGCTGCGTGCGCAGGAGGGGCCGGCGTGGACGGCGGCGGCAGGCGGTGCGGCGGCGCGCTCGGCGCGCGGTGGCGTAGAAGTGCCGGCTACACGCGCCAGAGAGACCATGGGCAAGAGCGCCCTCTGGTCTCTGGTGCGCGGCTTGTCGATCCTTGCATGCGGCGCGACAGCATGTGCCTGCATGCAGGGCCTGCAAGCAGCCGGGAGGTGCGGCAGGAGGAGGATGAGGAGGAGGAGGAGGAGGAGGAGGAGGAGGAGGAGGAGGAGGAGGAGTCGGAGCCGCCCAAAGCCGCGTGCCAAAGGTCCCTCGGGCGGAACAAAAAAAAACACTCTCCCGCGCGTGGCCGAAAACTGCCCGTGCGTCGACCGTGCCGTCTCGCGGGCGCACACCCGCCTCAGCCGAAGGACCTCCGGGGATCCGGGGGAGGACGAGGGAAGAGCGGTGTCTGTAGATGCAAGGCTGGCGCCTTCTAAGAAGCAGCCTCCCTCTAAGAAGCTGTTTTTCTCGGTCGGATCTCCCAGCGAGCTTTCAGGCCGTGGTGTTCTACCAATAGCCAACTCTGCTCCGTGCTCCGCTCGCACGCCGTCTGGCAGATCTCCCGGCACGAGGAAGGCACGGAGGATCCAGGAGCGAGGACCCAAAGCCTCGGGGCTCCTGGTGCGCCCTGGGCTCCGGAGGCATCCGAGGACCTCCGGGAACTCCGGGGACCTCCATGGGCCTCCTGGGGGGCCAGAGGTGATGGAGGGGACGGGGTAGAGAGGGGGACTACCCCAGGGTCGGCAGCGGACGGGGTGTGCGCTGCGCGAGAATGCTATAGAATTCCAAGACCGACTGCGGCCACGCCCTGCTCATGCTCGTGGCCCTCCTGCCGCCGGGGCCTGTCCTGCCGTTGCGAGTCACGGGCTGCCTTTCCCTTTGCATCGGGCCATATCTCAGGAAATCTCTCCCTCTCTCTCCATCGCTCTCTCTCCCTCTCTGTTTCGCTCGTCCCCTCCCTCTTTGTTTTGTACCACCGGCGCATTGTTTAAGTACTTTATATGTATATATATATATACATGCTCTCAATGGATGCCAGTGCCACGGCACGCGCGGGCTGAATATATGCCCCCAGCCTGGAGCATTCGTCGCCTGCGCCGCGGTACAAAGGAGCTCTTGCAAGGCGCGCCCTGGAAATCAGACACGCTGCCGAACGGCTCCACTGTGTCTAGCGGCAGTCGGTTGCAAATTGACACTAAAACGAACTCGTAATTGTCGATGTAGTCGGGGAGACGTGAACTTGGGAATACAAAATCGCTCCAGCGCCCGTCCGAGAACTCGATCAGCTGCAGGCGGTGTCTCCCGTTGCGATTCTCAGCCACCGCCGCGCCGCGTGTCTCCCGCTCCCTCTCCCTCCCTCTCTATATTAAGATAACCTCCTTAAGCACAAGCATGACAGAGCAGATTATGCACTTCAAGTGGCACCTCGAAGTGTCATCGCAGCGTCAGTGGCCATGCTGCCAGCGACGGTGGGCAGGATGAAGGATGGACACTCTACACATCCGATTTCTGCCTGCGCTGTAAGACATCCCAGCTCACTGTCGTTGTGACCGCGACACCTCGCCATCGCTTACTTCACAGAAGGGGGCGCTAGACGAACGAAGTCGCATCCTGATACACCGAGCATCAGACAACACACCCTCGCTGGTCTATTCCCCGAGGTGCTGCACATTACACTTGAAAACTGAGATCAAAAGCCTGACGATCAAACTGTGCACTCGTTGCGTGGCTGCTGGCGGATAAAAAAAAGGCATGTGTGACGGCCTAGGCGAGTTTCGCTATGCCGAATGTACAGTCGGGGCGCTGACCTAAGGAACCCCAAATAAGGAACGAGGCCCCTATTTTCCATAAGTTCAGCTTCGATTCCATATCGAAGACCTAAGGAAAAAACCTACGGCAGGCTGTGAAACAATCAAGGAACACCGAGCCCCTCCCCAACGAAAAGGGTTCCTTCTCCAGGGCCCCGACTGTATGTTTGGGATACGGTGCGTGTCCACGTCGTTGGAAGCGTGCCCACACTGGCGTGCCCGTGAGACTGACGTGCGAGCTCTGCGTTCTGTACAGCTGCAGTGCAGTGCACAGCAAGACGCAGCAGCAGCAGGACGAAGAGGGGTGGCGCCCAAAGCAAATGTCGTCGGATAAGAGCGCGCCCCACATCGAGCCCAGAATACGCTACGATAGAACGACAACCACATCAAGCCCAGAATATGCTACGATTGAACGGAGGCACGAACAGAACAGCTCTTATCGGCGGCGAGCCGGGGAGGGGGAAGTGAGAAAGAGAAGGCCTTCTCAAAAGCGGCGGGACTTCTCAGAAACCCTCCGGCCTTCCGAGAAGGCTTCCGTGTCTTCGGGGAAAACTCAAGAAACTTTTGGGAAGGCCAGGGGACTTCCGAGCCTTCTGAATTGGCCCGCCCCTTCTCACTTTCCTCCTAGGCTCGCCGCCGATCCTAACAGCTCCACGGAGCATGTGTACTGCGCACTTCAAGGCCACCTACAATCGGACCTAGGCCAGAAGAACATCTCTCAAGAACACGAGACCCTCCGCCGGCCAGAACGCACAGAACATCCAAGGGTACCCTCCCCAGGGAGCAAAAGAGCATCCGACAAGCGCTGAGAACATCAGGGTAATTACCCTCCCCGAGCCGACCTCGATCTTATACCCCGGCCCGCCTGGACTGCGCGCTTCTAGGTCACGAACTTCGCGCTTCGCGCTGCGCGACGGGGGAGGCGCAGCTACTCCAGATTTCGTAATAGAAGGGAGGGGGTCTCATTTCGGGGGGGGGGTCTCTTCCAGGCTATCTTGGAGGGCCTGGGGGGGTCTGGGGACGATGTTTTTGGAGGGTTCTCCCACGGGGGGGGTCTGAAATGGCTTGTCTTGGAGGGTCCAGACCCCCTCCCTTTGATTACGAAATCTGGAGTATCTTCGCGCCCTCGCGCGGCCACCCTGGAGAATGCCCACGCTCTGGCCGGGACCGCCACGCGCGCAGCGCGGCTCTCTCTCTCTCTCTCTCTCTCTCTCTCTGCGCCGCTGCAGGAGAGCTCCCACGCCTGCATTCGGTATAACCACGTGCTATACGACAACACCAGGACGAGGATGAAACCGGCTGAGGGGAAATCGAAAATCTCTGAGATCGGGCAGATCTGGAAGATGTCTCGGGATCCGTCGCCTCTTCAGAGCGTCGACGACGCCAGGACGAGGATAAAACCGGCTGAGGAGAAATCGAAAATCTCTGAGATCGGGCGGATCTGGAAGATGCCTGGGAAGCCGCCGCCTCTTCAGAGCGTCCCGGAACGCCCCGAGAGCGTCCCGGAACGCCCTGGAACGCGTCCTGTAGACCCGTCCGATGCTCCCAGGCGCACCGCAGAGCCAACTGCTGGACTGCAGGATCGCAGCCTACCTTGGATGCAGAGTTGTCTCATTCAATGCCCGGGCCCTGGAGTTAGGTCGGGCCTGTCCCCCTAAAGGGAGATTTTGGACGAAAAAATTACCCTGGCGACATATCCAACCCTTGCGCAATGCGGGGCATAAGTACATCAGGATTGCTACAACGGGGGCGATGACGTAACATGGACGCCTGTGATTTTGCGAGCAGCAATCGGAAGGCTCGCAGGCCCCCGATCAAGATACAAGGGCGTCGTGGTGGTCACTGACGCAGCCCCCCCCAGGGACGGCGAGGTCTACCTCAGATCCCCGCGGTGCCTCACTCCGCTGGACCCAACAGCAGCCCTCGAAAGTGGCGACGGTGTCGCAGATCGCAGCCCCCCAGGGACGGCGAGGTCTACCTCAGATACCCGCGGTGCCTCACTCCGCTGGACCCAACAGGAGCCCTCGAACGTGGCGACAGTATCACAGATCGCAGCCCCCCAGGGACGGCGAGGTCTCGCTCAGATCCCCGCGGTGCCTCACTCCGCTGGACCCACCAGCAGCCCTCGAAGGTGGCGACAGTGTCGCGGATCGCAGCATCCCAGGGACGGCGAGGTCTCGCCCAGATCCCCGCGGTGCCTCAGTCCGCAGGACCCACCAGCCGCCCTCGAAAGTGGCGACGATGTCGCAGATCTCAGCTCCCCAGCGACCGCGAGGACAGGCTCAGATCCCCGCGGTGCTTCAGTCCGCAGGACCCACCAGCAGCACTCGAAAGTGGCGACGATGTCGCAGATCGCAGCCTAGATCCCAACACGAAAGACATGAGGGACGGCGAGGTCCCGCTCAGATCCCCGCGGTGCCTCAGCCCGCAGGACCCACCAGCAGCCCTCGAAAGTGGCGACAGTGTCGCAGACCGCAGCCCCCCAGGGACGGCGAGGTCCCGCTCAGATTCCCGCGGTGCCTCAGTCCGCAGGACCCACCAGCAGCCCTCGAAAGTGGCGACGATGTCGCAGATCTCAGCTCCCCAGCGACCGCGAGGACAGGCTCAGATCCCCGCGGTGCTTCAGTCCGCAGGACCCACCAGCAGCACTCGAAAGTGGCGACGATGTCGCAGATCGCAGCCTCCCAGGGACGGCGAGGTCTACCTCCGATCCCCGCGGTGCCTCCGTCCGCAGGGCCCACCAGCAGCCCTCGAAAGTGGCGACGGTGTCGCAGATCGCAGCCCCCCAGGGACGGCGAGGTCTACCTCAGATCCCCGCGGTGCCTCAGTCCGCAGGACCCACCAGCAGCCCTCGAAAGTGGCGACGGTGTCGCAGATCGCAGCCCCCCAGGGCCGGCGAGGTCAGGCTCAGATCCCAGCGGTGCTTCAGTCCGCAGGACCCACCAGCAGCCCTCGAAAGTGGCGACAGTGTCGCAGATCGCAGCATCCCAGGGACGGCGAGGTCTCGCTCAGATCCCCGCGGTGCTTCAGTCCGCTGGACCCACCAGCAGCCCTCGAAAGTGGCGACAGTGTCGCAGATCGCAGCCCCCCAGGGACGGCGAGGTCTACCTCAGATCCCCGCGGTGCCTCACTCTGCTGGACCCACCAGCAGCCCTCGAAAGTGGCGACGGTGTCGCAGATCGCAGCCCTTCAGGGACGGCGAGGTCTACCTCAGATCCCCGCGGAGGCTCAGTCCGCAGGACCCACCGGCAGCCCTCGAAAGTGGCGACAGTGTCGCAGATCGCAGCCCCCCAGGGACGGCGAGGTCTCGCTCAGATCCCCGCGGTGCTTCAGTCCGCTGGACCCACCAGCAGCCCTCGAAAGTGGCGACAGTGTCGCAGATCGCAGCCCCCCAGGGACGGCGAGGTCTACCCCAGATCCCCGCGGTGCCTCACTCCGCTGGACCCACCAGCAGCCTTCGAAAGTGGCGACAGTGTCGCAGATCGCAGCACCCCAGGGACGGGTCTCAAGAGGCCCCGAATAGGGTTCCATTAAGCCATCCAAAGGCCCCCACGCCCCCTCAAGAGACTTCCAAGAGCCGCCCGAGAGGCATCCAAAGAGACCCGAAAAGGCAACCATGAGACCTCTGGCCCACGACCCAGGCATGGTGGCATGAGCATAAACCAATGGCGCTCCGCGCGGATTTCTTGGATCTGCGTTGGACCCCCCTCCCTGGCGCGCGGAGCGCGCCAGGGGCGGCGCCGGAAGCGCCGCCAGGGGGGCCCAGCGCAGATACAAGACATCCGCGCGCAACGCCAAATCCGACACTGGCCCACAAACCAGGCACGGTGGCAGAATTGGCGGAAGACCAGCAAATCATGTCGAACGGTTCACACAGAAGGGCTGCCCCGCAGATCCGTTTGACGCTGATCCCCGACAACCCTCAGGGTCCATCTTGGCAAATTTTTGAGCTGCGCCCCTCTGTGGCAACGAGGGCTTGCCAGGGGAGCCCACAAAAAACAAGCTGCTCAATCACGTGCTGGGATGTTCGATCGGCCTTCGGGGAGAAAAGCACGCCGCCCTGAGGGTGCGTCAGCCAGAGGCCGCCGAGACGCTGGGTCCTGAGTCGGGCCGCGCCTTCGTGCAGCATTCGAGCCGAGGCGGTGAGGACCGCGAGGCGGCCCCGAGAGCAAAAGGAAAGACGTGGCGGTGGACCTTACTATGTCCAGGCCCTCGGCGAACCTTCTGATGTCCCCGTCGCTGTAGCCACTGGCATCAATCAGTATGATGCCGGCCTGGTGCCAGTCCTCGGCAAGGGCAGACAGGCGGCAGGGCAGGAGCTGCCGACAACACCAATTTCCGCCACCATCCTCGTGATCCGCCAAACAATTTCCGTCCCCCTCACCCATATCCGCTGGGCGTCCTCAGCTTCTCAAATATTGAGTTCTGGTTATATCTATATTGATAGTTTCAGAAAGAGAGTGAAAGAGAGAGAGAGAGAGAAATCAATCACAAACAACAAAGGAGAGGGAGAGAGAAAGAGAGACCACCAAACCACCTCTTCCCTAGATTCCTAGGCGCTCGCGAGCGCTGAGGGGGCATGGCGCACGACCTTCCTCGAGGCCCTGGCAGCGACACTGGCAGCCTGCACTTCCAACATGCCCGAGATGGTCCCAAGTGCCGCTCTGGGATCTTCTCCGAGGTTCCCTGTGCAATTTTGAAGGCTATACGGGGTCGGCCCAAGAACAACAACTTGCCCAACACCACACCTGTTCTGCTCTCTTCGGTGCCAAGAGCGCCCAAAGACGGCCCAGAAGATCTCAAGATCTCCCCAAGACGGGCCAAGATAACTAGGAGTCCCCGCCCCAGCAGGGCCCTGAAGAGGCCCACAAACGGGGGAATTCAGATGGGCCTGTGGCCCACCACCACCACCACCATAAGTTGGAGGGGGGGGAAGGAAGAGGAGGAGGAGGAGAAGGAGGAGGAGGAGGAGGAGGAGGAGAAGGAGGAGGAGGAGGTGGGATGCGGAGGAGGAGGAGGAGGAGGAGAGGAAAGTGAGGAGGGATGAGTGAGGAGGAGGAGGAGGAGGAGGCGGAGGAGGAGGCCAGCCTCCCCCTCCAACTTATGGTGGTGGTGGAAAACAGGCCCATCAAATTCGAAGTGGCCCTCCGAGGCCCCCAAGCGGCCCCCTGAAGGCTCCCGAGGCTCCTCCGAGGCGGCCGCGAGTGGCCCCTGGGAGGACCTCCGAGGAGGCCCCGCGAGGCCCCTGAAGAGGCCCCCAAACGGGGGAACTCGAAGGGGCCCTCTGAGGCCCCCAGGCAGCCCCAGGGAGGCTCCTCCCCGAGGAGGCCCTCCGAGGGGACCCTCCGATGAGGTCGACCTCCGAGGAGGCCCTCCGAGATGATCCTCCGAGGTCGACCTCCGAGGAGACCCTGCGAGGAGGCCTCCGAGGAGGCCCTCCGAGTGGCCTCCAGGAGGCCCTCCGAGGAGACCCTGAGAGGCTCCCTGGAGTCCTCTGGTCCGAAACCCGGGCACGGTGGCGGGATGGGCCGAGGGCCACTGGGCACGGGGCTCGGCCTGAGGAGGAG